TGCAAAATTGGCATTGCTGTGTACGTACGTAGTGCTGCTCATGTCCATTCGGCTTCTCACCAGGTAATCTATTATATTAGCTTGTTTACTCCAAGTATTACAAAATTATACATAATAATTCGAAAATGTTCTGTTCAAATTCGTTTTGTTAGAAATTATGGTTTTAAAATAATTAAAAAACACATGCAACCTAAATATAGAGACTGTCGATGATATGCGGACAAATACACGCCCTTGTCACTTCAAAAGAAATCACCCAGACGTATTGTGCGAGTAATAATAACGCTGAACTCCACTAGCAAAGTTTACCTTATACCTACATAGTCGAAAATAACGTTCCCTTTTTAGATTTAGAAACAGTCGGTTGTTTGTGGAAAATTTCTGTTTAAACCGTTCATGCTTCAATAACAAACTCCTATTAATAATAACGCCCACTTGTTCACAACAATTGGCCATTATGCCTTTTGCTCTAATTGGCGGAAAAAACATGTATTTTTTTTTTGTAATGATACTACAAGCTCGCCAACATGAGTTATCGTGCTGTTGATAAAACAAGAAATTAACAGGATCCGTTTGTTGTTAGCGATTTAGATGGAATGTTTACGAATATAGTCGGACCTTTTAAGGGATTATGAAGAGTAACGTCAGATTATTTTGCACGTAAACATTATGTTTTATGAATTCACTGGAAAAAAAGCAGCAACAAACATTTTTCTATGTGTACCTCTTACTGCAAATGGTATGTACTTTCGGTTTTTTTGAATAACGTTCAAATGTTATATTGCTGTAAATATTAGCTACTACAAACGAAAAATATAAATATAAATAAATATATACGGACAAATCACGCAGATTGAGCTAGCCCCAAAGTAAGTTCGAGACTTGTGTTATGGAATACTAACTCAACGATACTATATTTATAATAGATACATATATAGATAAACATCCAAGACCCAGGCCAATCAGGAAAAGATCGTTTTCCATCATGACCTGGCCGGGGATCGAACCCGGGGCCTCCACGTCGCAGGCAAGCGTGTTGACCGCTGCGCCACGGAGGACGACAAAATAAATAAAAAAATATCTTACGCAATTTTTTAAATTAAGAAGCCATAAGTAGATTCTTATAATAGTACCAAATTAGTGGCAAATTGTAGATGTAAAAAACTATAACCTAATGACAAATAACAATTATGTTAGCTAAAGTATAATTTGAGAATAATTTTTGCATCTACTGGTCTTTGAATTAGATTTGTTAATATAAGTTTAGTTTCCAGAAACTGTAATACATTTAAATGTAAATTTTACCAGTAATAATTCGTAATTTGAATTTGAATCGTATGAATCACATAAAATTATACGACGACATGTAAAAAGTTATGAGAAAAAATTTGAAACATTGAACATAGATTAATACGTATTTAATAAAGATTTAAACGATGGTGTCTACGATCCCAGCCACCAGTCCAAAGTATTAAGTTTCACTATCGGTTTTTATCGAAGTACCTTATAAGTTTATGTGAGAGTTTATATAAATTTCATACTATTTCATTTTATTGATGATGACAACTTAATGATAGTAGCAATTTCTAACAGATAAATACACGTAAAAGAGAAGAAAGAACATAATTCAGATTCGTCGGACGTTATAACGTCACAAATTATTGTAATTTTATATCAAAAATTGTTAATATAGGCAATTGTCATTCGATCCTCTCTGTCCACCATACTCGTAAGCTACTACAAAATAGTCAATATAAAAAAAAATATTTGTCTGTTTGTTAAAGATTTGGAAGTGTTAGAACTTAGGTTAGATATAATCAGTGATCAAAAGATGACTTGGTCATTAATTTTTATCCCCCAACTTGTGATTGTCAGTATATTACAAGCTGCCCATATCATCAGGCCCCTGTTGACGATTTCACATCTTATCATAAACAACATGAGGATTTTTATGATCCTTTTAATCATTGATTAAAATATGTGGTCTCTTATCATGGATTAAGCGTAGTTAGAATCAGTTTAAATATAAACAATTGTATATTTCATTACATAAGATGATTTATATAATGGAATATAGGTAATGTAATAATAATGATATTATATCATAAATGTATTGAAATATAATTGTTTAAAGAGATAAAATACTAGAATCTAATACTAGTGAAGTATTTCATTCCTATACTACATACCTTAAGACATATTGCGACGATCCTAAATAAATGGGAAAAGGCAATGCAATGATAATGGCTCCATACTTCAAAGATACTCATATACCTCAATAACTTTTAGCAGTAAAATTCACTGAACCATAAACCGTAGTAAAGATAAAATTAATTGCATTAACGTAATCTCTTATAAACAAACCTTGGGCTAAACAAATTAAAGACTCTTTTAACAAAGTAAGAAAAAGTGATTTTACAAAGAGTCCATTATTGCTTTTGATGTAAAAATAAAATAGGTGTGTACGTAAAATTGTTTATATAACAGCAGCCTTGAAAGCGATAAATACAGAAACAGTGTTTGTGCTCGAAGCCCTGAAGGACGGAGCAGATAAGATTTAAACACGCGAAACAAACTGAAGTGCTAAGTAAATATCGTGTTAGACAGTGTGTCGATGTGGGCAAATATTTGACATTCCGTTTACGATCTGGCTCTAAGTAAAATGTAATAATATGTTAGAAGCGATAGAAGTATCTCGGCATATGTGTTAAGATGGATTTTAGATAAATTCTACGCAGTTGCAGTTGATAGGCACATAAAATAGTACTTTAAATTTTCAATAGGATTGAAAATATATGTTATATAGTATTATATATATCGACTATCGTGTTTGTGAGTCTTAAATGGAAATGCGTACATTAATGTTAAGTATGGTTTTGAAGTGGAGATCAAGAAAAAGAGAAGAAACAAGGTACAGAAAAAAATGGTCAATAGAAGGCTAAACATTGAAAAATACTGTTGGAAGAACAAATGCTTGAAGAGTGCAAACGCGAAATATTTCTCAACAACTCCTAGGTCTAATTTGTAGTTTTACATAGTAATTATAGTTTTTTTTTATGACTTAGAAATTCGTTAAATTTTGTATTTAATACAGCTATCGCTTTAGCAATCTTCTCCTGTCGCTCCAATTTCACCTCCTCTAAACGTCGTTATCTTTGTGTAGTAGTTTCTTTTTTGTTCATTTTGTTCCCACGAGTATAGAATATAAACGGTGATTTGTTAAGTAAAAATAAAAAAAAAAGAAGTTGTGATACTTGAAAAATAAATTTTTTATCATTATTGCTTGCATTCATTTTACAGTATCCCTCAATGGACAAAGAGTATCCAACGAAATCTCTCAAAATATCTCCAATTTTCTCTCGGAGTATTTTATGGAAATTTTAAGCTCTGACAGTATTCCGACCCGACTTATCCCTTACCCTTGGGCTCTGTCTATTCGGATCAGCACATCAATTCTGCCTTATTGTAAAAAGGTTACGTACGCTGATTACATAACCTGAGGATGATGTATTTTGAAATGCGCTAACAGAGATTTGTTTTGTTGAGCCCTTGTCCACAGAAATAAGTGTATTATATAGTTTTATAAAAATCTTGAATTCCTTAATCTTGTTTTCAAAATGAATAATAATTTCACAATAAATAAATATACAGAGTAGTAAAGTACAAAGTAGTGTAAAATAATGATTGAGATTCGTTTTTATTTATTTATTTTCAAGAAAATTAGCGTAAAGATTGTGAATAGATAAAAGCATATTTTTTTAAACTCAGTGGAGGTTTCGAGAAAAAATGAAATTATGGTGACTATTTCATTTTTAGATAGAGAATGGTATTTTTGACAATATATCTGGTTATTTATATCTAAAATTATATATACGTTACAGTAAATTCTTATTATTAGGTGCGATGGTGTAAAAATCTGCTCGATAGTAGGGTATAAATTTAGGTCTGGTAAAAGTGCTTGTTCATTTTGTCAAAAAGATAAGCATTTATTTTTGTGAAGCGATTTTTATGCTGAGTCAAATCTATCCAATATTTTGGATAAACAATTTAAAAATATACATTTGACGATCTTCCCGGCGCAGCGATGGGTGGGTTTAGTACATTGCTCTGCGTAAAGCGGTCTCGAATTAGATTCTGGGTTGGAAACAAACTTTCCTATATTGGCTCAGGTAGTCAGGCAGTCTGGGTATTCTAAAATATACCCCAAGATTATTATTGTTGCCTTCGTCGATGGCGTTCTTATGATGTAGTGTGGATACCCTGTGATACTCAAGGTAGGATTAACTTGAGTATCAGGCGATTGGTATGATGTATGCCACTTACTCGTATTATATTATTGCTTTATTTAGAAGTAAAACGTAGAACGGTTAATGAAGATTTTCAAAAGTTATTCGAACGATTAAAATTTGAACTCCGAAAACCATTTATTTAAAGAGCCCAAGAACTATATATTTGAAGCGATGACCTCAAATTCATTACATGAAGACAGTGGATGTAGATGGTTCAGAACTGTTCCTGATGGGAGAGGCTTATGTTCAACAGTGGATAGATAACAGCTGAAATTATGAGGATGACAGTATTTTTTAGTAAATAAATTTTGCCGAAAATTTAAAAAAAAAAATCGACTGTTCTATCAAAATAGGAACTATTAAAAAATAGCCCGCGTTATTCGTAATAATGTAAGGATTCGAACGAAACCCCGTACATCCAAATTTGTGCAAAAATTTAGAAGCTATGACGATATAAAATACTCACATACACACATAGACCCAGAAGACATAACGTTCCTTTCTTGGGCAGTTATATAATAAAAAAACAATGACAATAAGGTAATGAGCTACGTATAAAGAGATGTATAAAAGACGACCTTGCAAACTATTATGTAATGGAAAGTTAACACGGATAACGTGTTATTAGTATTTGTACTGGCTGTTTACGAATGGCCGCCCGTTAGCTGTTCGGTTACAGTTTCCACCAGTCGTATCGCTGTACACAGTCTTTAACATATGGTTGTAATTATCGAGTTGTTAACAATTGAAACAAGTATATTTTGCGTATAAATCAACTTGTTTGTCCATTAAATATGATCATTTTTTCCTAGCGTTTCGCTCTGGCTTTGCACGGATAGACAAATTATTACTTTATATTAGCTTTAATGTAAAACGGCTTCCTTTTCCGTAGGTGTCGTTAAAGGTAAGGGAATTTTATAGTTAAAGGAATGTCCAGCAGTATCCCTTTTAAAGCATTACCAAAGCCTAACTGCAGTTTCTAACCCGCCTGCCAAGCATGGCAACTATTGGCAGACCCCCTCAATAGGCGAGGTCTATGGTTAGCGGCGAACAGTTAATGGCTTTTTAGTAGGTAATTTTTTTATGTTTTGGGTTACATTAATGTATTTTTCATAACGATTTCTATTTGTTTTAAATAATATACTGCCTTTTGACGTCGTAATGGTTCGAGTGGTTCGACAAATTGTCATGAAAATTTGGTTTACACGTGGTATTCGGGACGCAGAATGACATATATACCAGAGGAAGACTTTGTACAAAAGTTGTTTGCTTAGGCACCTCTGTCCCATTCATATTTCTATCATGAAGCAGTTGTATTTGCATGGCAGTGTTTCGGTTTGAAGGGTGGGATATGACAGTGAATTTACAGGGTACAGAGGATTAACACCCAAATCCTCAGGAATGGCAACGCATGAGGGGTATCATGGGCGAAACAGTAACTCTGTTATGTCTATGATACTGCTCATGTCTATAGGCGACGGTTACCGCTTTCCATCAGGTGGGCCGTCAGCTTATTTGCTTAAAAAAATATTTATCTCGGTCAATAAATATACTCCGATCATGCGAATAAAGTCGCAGGTAAATACTAGCAACATTACAACTGCATGTTTATTAATATATTCACATCTTTCGTTAGTCAATCATGTTTTAAAAGCTAAACGGATTTTAACGTACTTATGTACGGAGATGGAGCATAACCCACATACACACATAGTATACTTTGATCTTAATCTACACGGGATTACGTCTAGTAATTAATATATATAGCTTGATTATTCTGTTATTGCGGGCCTTCATCACAGAGTCCTTAATGCGCCCATGGTGTGGTGGCTTTGGGTTAATGAGGTTCCCATTTCAATTTTCGTTTGGGGGCGAATTTAAGCGAGTCTTCCAAATTAATTTGGGTCTGAATGTTGCCTGCAAAGGCATTGTGTGTTTAGTTTTATGAATAATCCAGCCGTAACTCATGGCTATGTCGCCATGAATTAGGATAATAGGACAAGATTGTACTATGCTTTAATCTAATAGTCAATCCCTGAACCAAATTTCATTAAAAATTTAACTGTATTATTATCACACTGGTATAGTGACAAAGCCACTATGGGGGAAAGGGATTGTTAGTGATGGAAACTGAGAATCTCATTGCTAGCAATATACCCAACCAGGTCGACCTCCTCGCGGTTCCCCCTGGAAACTATCATGGTTAATTCCTGACGAATTCATCATGATGGGCTAACTGGCCTGTTTTCATTCTCATCTATCACCCTTCACTGGTGCTCCGTCAGCGTAACCCGTTAGCGAAGGCGGGGTTACAATACCATTATCACCCATCAAAATAAAAAAAGTGCACCCACGGGGTGTCACGTGTCTTATGTGCTTACTTGTTATAATAACTAATCTGTATTAATAAATATAAATAAATAAATAATGCCTTAACCAATTACTATGAAGTTTAGTATACACGTACTGCATGGCACGGAGAAGGGTACATGCCTTATCACGGTCGGTAAACAAGGCCCGGTCTCGCGGACATAGTCGCAGGTAAAAGCAAGTATTTAAAAAAAATAATCCCGCGCTGTTTTCCCCGACCAATGATTCAATACAATCTGGCATATAAACTTCAAATTAAACGATTTATTTACAGGGGCACGACACCAATTCGCTCCCAGTTGACACTAGTGGAACGAACCAAATTGAAACTCTTGCGCATCGATCTATTACAAACAGATACGATAATGAACACGCGCAGACTGCGTGGCGATGTTGTGGGCAGCACGTGTGGGCTTGCTAAATAATTACCAGGCGTATGTATGTATGTACTTATACTAGTTTGTATGTATGTATATATGAGCTAACAATATGTATTTATATATGTATATACTTATGTATATATAACTCTACAAAAAAAGCGACTTCGACTGTAAACACATACACGTGGAAAACTACGTGATGTTTTGTAGATATCGGGTAGTATCTATACATGGATTGTAGGTATATATAGTTTTGTAAATACTCTAATGATTGGGAGGGAACGGGGGGGAGGGATTTTGTTAGTAAAGCAGTCTACCAGTCCCATTGCTAGTAACATGCAGGGTGGACCTCCCCGTAGTCTCTCTGGAAACCATCGTGTTGAATTCCAAGCGTATTCATCACGGTAGGGTAACTGACCTGCCATTTCATCCTCACCTATCATCCCTCATTGGTCCCCGTCAGCGTATACCGTTAATGTAGACGGGGTTACAATAAACAGATAAAATACTTTACATAGTAAATAATCATTAACCAATAAAGTTTCCACTATTAACTATTAAGTATTGCACACAGAGCAAATTGTTGAAAACATTTATTATTATTTTTTATTTTATTAAACGTTATCCTCTTTTCTTCGACAGTCGAGTAAAAATAATTTAATTTTCCACATGGCCACTCAATCACTCAATGTCAAAGTATGAACCACCAGACTGCTGAATATAATATGCAGACATGTTCCACCTAAGTATATAAATAAGTATATTAAACGTGTAGAATTATAAATAAAACATACGGGGGTTATTTTTAGAAGTTTTGAGAGGTATTTTCTTTTATTTGCCCTTGAACTTTACGTGAGTAATGACGAGGTATAAACCTGCTACTGGCTACAAGCTGCAAATGATTATAAGCAGAAATGGTGCGGATGAAACGAGAAATTACGATGATAGTTATGAACAATGCTATCTCTTATTATAATCTTCATTTTGATGGAAATAACTTGATCATATTTTTTGTCAGATGATGCTGTCAAATTGTGATTTATATAAATTAGGATAATTGGTATGATTGACAAGTAATAGATGAGACTGAAAATGGATAAGCTAGCTGAAGTGGCAATGGGCTGGTCGCATAAATCGAAGAACATACAATCGATGGGGAAGAAAAGTTCTTAAGTGGCGACCCCGTACGGGCAAATACAGTATAGGACGAATCCCCACTAGATGGAGTGACGACTGCAAATGTATTGCAAGGAGTTAGTAGATGCAGGTGGCTCAGGACCGTTCTTTATGGCGGTCTATGGGGGAGGACTATGTCCAGCAGTGGACGGGTAATGGCTGAGATGGTGATGATGATATAAATTAAATAACTGGTTCGATTCTCGGTCGGGCCAATTTACGAAAGGATTTTTTTTTAATTGGCTTGGGTCGGATTGTTTTTGGGTTTACTTCCAGATGTTCGTTGCATGAGGGCCAGGCGATTGATGTGATTGTCCACTGCGGGGAGAAATGGATTGTTAGTAAAGTGGTCTACCAGTCCCATTGCTGGCAATATATCCTGTCAGGTCGAAAACCATCGAGCTGAATCCCAGGTGTATTCATCACGATGGGCTAACTGACCTGCCTTTTCATTCTCACCTATCATCCCTAACTGGTGTCCAGCATATACCGTTAGTACAGACGGGATTACCATTCAATTAGGCTTCAGACTGCAGCTGAAAATCAGTGCTTTGCTTTTAAGCAATACCATCACTGAGCTGTAGCCTATTTGGGTCACTGCGACACACATGGCGAAACCATATTTTATCTTTTGTTGTATATTTTAAAAAGTGTTAATAATTTAATTGTATAAACTCATTTGTAAATTTATTTGTGTCATAAATGGCTCAAATAAAAAGTTTATCTATCTATCTATCTATCAATTACCATCCATTAAAAAAAAACTGTCCATTGCTAAATATAAGCCTCGAGGGAAGTTTTACTAGTAGTTGCCATGCTTGGCAGGCCGGTTGGCAACCGCCTACTGACTGATTGATAGTTGTTAAATTGATATGATTGGGCGTAATTATCGGCATGACTGCCTAGACACACTGACGCCATCTCTACATGTTTACTGTTGTTGAACAGGTCATGATGTTTTTGTTGGTAATCAACTAATCAATCTTGTGGTTTCTGCGAAGCTGCCGTCATATAGTAAGTTACGTGATGAAAAAGATACGGGGTTCTTCGGAGAATTGTTTATGAGAGTTTAGGGCTTGTAAACAAATTGATTATAAAGGTCTGAATCCATTAGATTGATCAGAGAAACGAATCCAAATTAACGTTGTATAGAGGAAATATTTGGTTTTTTGTTTGTAATTATTTTATTGCGTCAAGTAATAAAATAATAAATAGAGTATATATATATATATATATATATATATATATATATATATATATATATATATATATATATATATATATATATACCTCTGTCCCATTCGTGTTTCAGCCGTGAAGCAGTTGTGTTTGCATGGCTGTGTTTCGGTTTGAAGGGTGGGATATGGCGTGAATTTACTGGGTACAGAGGAATAACACCTGAGTCCTCAGGGATGGCAAAGCATTGGGGGTATCATGGGCGAAACAGTATGCTCTGTTATGTCCAGGGTACTGCTCATGTCTATAGGCGACGGTTACCACTTTCCATCAGGTGGGCCGTCAGCTTGTTTGCCATTCTAAGTTGTATAAAAAAAATTATAATAATATTAATATTATATTATAATAATATATTAATATTTATATATTTTTTTATATATAACGTTGTTGATAGTACAATGAATCATATTTGCATGTAAACTAATTATCATGATTGTATTACCGTTTGTTAACATCAATAAAATAAAAAAAACAAAAAACAAAAAAACAAGAACAGGTCTAAGGGGTGGACACCTTTTATAATTTGATGTTGCATAGTATTATAAAAGTAAACAGTGTATTGTTTACTTGCCCATAACAGATGAGTGTGGCGTGATTAATATGTTACCATAGTTGTAAACTTGGAATATTTATTTTTACAACGCACTACGTAGTTGTATACCTATTGTGTGATCATAATTATTTATAACGCTGGAAGACAAACCGGGGAGTCTCGTACGCATGGTGAAAAACAAGTGCATGGTGTAAAATCAAACAGTGTGACTGTTGAGTTTCTTATGGGCTTTTCTCAACAGATAACGACCTTCCGAAACCTGCAGTAGATTAAAAAGTTACGATTTAAAAGTGCTTGTAAACAAGTATCTTTAAATAAAGATAATTTGAATTTGAAATATCTATTTCAAAAACATCTGCTTATCCTACTCGTATGTTTATAAAAATAAACTCGGTTCTATTATAATTTTTATTCTAAAATTATCCAATCTTTACTATACTGTACATACATATTTGCATATTATACAGAGTGTCCCGTAATTTTCTGGTTGTTGTTCAATAAGCTTGAATATAATTTTAATAAGGAAGTCTTATGTATTCTTAACTACCTTGAATAAAAAACAAGAATAAAATAAAAAAAAAAAAAACAAATATGGTAAAATTTAATATTTAGCTTACATGGATATTTTTACTACATTTTGAAAACAAAGCATAACTAAATAAGGACATAACATAATTAAAATACTAGGACTATAAATTTTTGTATTTTTGTTAGACAATAGGTCTCACTACCCACCATAACCCGCTGGTCCACTACTGACGGGACATTGCTTTTTACTTTTATTATCACTTCACCAAATCGATATGATTTTCAAGACTTTTACCCAATTACAAAGTTTTATCGTTTTTAATTATATTTTACCATGTGCCACAAAGTGAATGACAAAAAAAGACCTTTACTTCTATTTCTATTTTTAGCGCATTTTACCTTCTCCTTCCCTTATCACATTTTCTGTTTTACTACCTTCATTTATATTTTACTGTATTCATACATCTTTATACCATTTATAAATACTAAAACTGTCCAAAAATTACCCAAAACTCCAAACCAAAATTTAATTTCCTCAAAGAATTTTATTTCTCCAAAATTTCGACAACAGAAAAATATTTACCCATAATTTAGAAATAAACACTATCTGGCAACGCTGCCTATCACTATGAAATTTGGTATACACGTAATATATGGGATGAATTAGTACATATGTTCACAGAATGGGATAAAAAAATATCCTATCCTATAAAAGTCTATCCCGGTTATACCGAGAAGTTAGTAATAACATAGTTGATCGATCTATTTTTAAGACACACTTATATAGTCTTGCTAATTTACAGTTTTAAATGGCCTTCTTTGTTCCAAAAGAAAGCATAATACCCAAAAAGGTTACATAGTTACAATGAACTCCGAATTAACGTGAAACATTTGAACGCAATGTAACCTGTCATTAGATCTATTAAAAAGGCAAACCGATTAGGGGTAAACAGAAAAAAAGGAATTCAATTTGCCTCGTGCCGACGCCAGGGAAGGAGCGTTGAAACCCATCGAAAACCTCTATTTACATTTGAAATTCCGCCGTGAGATTTTATTAAAATCAAGGGAAAATATTCCCATTTTGACACTGTCCTTTTCGGGATTGCGATAGGCCGAGGCCGAGGCCGAGGGCCGACACGGCTCGGCAACAACGCCATTTGCATTTTTATACTGTAATTACGCGAACCTCCCGGGAACGATTCCGAGTTTCTTTTTTTAGGCCAAACGCAGCGTCGGTTAATTTTATAATTTTTCGCTGTTAATTTTTAGCTTTTCATTGTTATTAATTGCGCTATATTTTTATTATGATAACGTTTTGGGGGAAAATCTTTGGCCGTCACTAACGAGACGCGCAAGTGTTTACTTCGGGAGCGGGGTTTTTTGTTGTAGAAATAATTATCAATATTAATGTAATGTAAATTGTAAACATTCCTCTTGCGACGGAGTGTATTTGAAAAGCAAATTTATGGGTTTTATTATGTTTCTGCTTTTTACACGAGTTGATGGGTCAGTAAACGTGATGAAAATTTTGAAGGGCGCTTAAAATGTTAACGCGTAGGGACCGGGATTCGACTCGGGTTTATTAATATAACAGAAATTTACGTTTTAAAATCATTTGCATATTTTAAATTATATTATATCTTATTACATTAAGATAAAATAAGAAAAAAAAACAAGATTTATAATATAAAATTGGTAGTTCTTGACTAAAATGATGATGATGATGATGATGAAGACAAAAGGACTGCACAAAACGAATGAAATAAAGAACGTAGATTTGTTCATTTTATCAAACTCTGCTTTATAGAGGATTCAAAGATCCAATATGAATAATTAAAAGTTGTAAAACCAGACATAGAGAAATTATTATTTTTTACTTCAAATAAACACAATAGAAGTATACATTTCTTTTTACTTTTAAAACATAAAAATCATAGAACAATATTAAGACAATTGTACCGAGGAACGAGTCGTTTAAACAAAAAAGTTATGCAAGAACAACGTACGAAATTGTACACGAATATACAAGTAGTCGAAGTACAAAAGAATGCTCTTAAAGCTTGTAAAATGCTAATTTACAAATTAATGATTATTCATTAGTATTTATATTAATTATTAATTAGTATAAATGTGTAAGTGTAAGAACTCCGGAAAAAAATAAGAATGTAGTTGATGCAACATTTTATTGTCATGGAACAGGAAAATGGAAGGAACATTTAATTTACAATCGTTTGGAAGGATATAAAATCGGAAAAACAATTATACTACTGTTCCTTTAATTTGTAAGGATTTAATGGGTGAGTTCTTTTTTATGCAACTTAGAATGGCAAATAAGTCGAAAGCCCGCCTAATGGAAAGTGGTAACTATAGACATGAGCAGTACCATGGACATAACAGAGTACACTGTGCCACCTAAGATACTCTTAATGCGTTGCCATTCCTAAAGACTAAAGTGATTTTTTTTAATGGATGATAATACACTGGCGGGACACCAATGACAGAGATAAGTGAGGATGAAGCCGATCAGTTGGTCCATCGTGACGAATTCAATAATAAATCAATCACAATGGTTTCTAAGGGGAACCGCATAGAGGTCGATCTGCCAGGGTATATTGCT